GGGAAATGAGTTGCCAGGTCACAGCCAGGCAGGGCTAGCATTTGCCATCTGTCTCAGTCCATTCAGATTGTGTTATTCATCCTCCTTACCCCCAAATTAATGTCATCATCTCATCTTAAATATATTATCCCAATATAAATCCTAAGAGGCTTTAAAAAATCTTAACTGATTCCAGCATTAGGATTTAAACACTAAAGGCACACCAGGCATGATGGTGCACATCTTTCATTTTAGCACTCAGTAGGTAGAGGCAGGCAGATCTCTGTGAGTTTGATACCAGCCTGATCTACAGAGCGAGTTCTCAGCCAGCCAGAGCTACAAAGCAAGACTTGTCTATTTTTTTTAATGCACAATTTAATAATGTATTTAACAAATTGAAGTACAGCATTTAAAAATTAGGATTTGAATATCAATGGAATCTAGCCAAGACCATATGATGGAGCCATTTGAAGCAATGGAAGGTCTGCACCTACCAGGCCCTCAACCACTGCACGCATTAACCAGGTACTTCAAGGAGCTTTTCTGTATCGCTTGCAAGAAAAGAAACATTCACTTTCTTAAAGACTCTGTCTTAAAGAACAAAACAAACAAACAAAAGCTAGTGTCTTAGGAGAGCACATCTAAATCAGTTATGGGTGAGAATCAAGGTGATTCATTTGGAGGCAAATTACACTTTAGTTGAAATGGGAACATCACAGAAACATTGTGGTTTTAAAATTCAATGTGGAGTAGGCATAGAATAGGTCTTTCTATCCCAAAGGAGCAAATTAGAAAAGAAAAAAATGAGTGACAGGTCTTGAGTCAGTCTAAGACCTCACAGCTTCAGAATCATTTTGGCAAAGTATTTTGCTGTTCAGGCCCACTAGGGCACACACAGATACTGCATAAAAGCTTTGGGTAACCCTGCCCTCATCTTTGTTGGGAGTGGCCCACACCATAGGCCTCACAGGTTGGAGTTGCCTGGCTGTGGCTCTTTCAGACTAGAACGGAACACATGTGGGCCTACTGGTCTGTAGTCTCCAGGCAACCCCATTCCCTTGGCCTGCTGGGTATTTCTGTAGTGGGTGCTCTCTGCATTGGCCTCCACCCACACCACAGTTCTCTTTCCAGGGGCCACCGAATTCTGAGGCATCCTTTGAAATCCAGGTGGAGGTAGCCACACCCCCACAGCTTTGCTTGGCACAGAGCAATCACTTCAGGCCGGAGCCAGTGGGAGCCACACCTGGTGTGACTGATGAGCATGGAGCTAGAGTTCAGGAGGAAAAAGACCACCACATGAACCAGTGCTGGGCAGTGGCCGGGCTCTTCCTTTGATAGGGTTCTGTCCTCCTGGCCCTGAATGTGGTCTTGGGATGGGAGTGGAGCTCTTCCCCCATTTGAAGTCTAAGGTGACTTGAAGTCATTATCTCACTGTCTTGGACAATAGGCCCTTTATACAGTTGACTAATCTCCCTCATTGTCTTGATGAATAACACCTGGCCTCCCTTACAGGGGTAGCTGATCCATGTAAATCTTATCAAGCAATCCTCAGCCACACCTGTGTTCTCTCCTCCACAGAGTTCTCTCATTTTTTTTCTTCCCAGTAGGAATAGGCTGAAAAATACTATAACTTTTATGTTTTCCTTATTTATTTTAACTAATGATTCTATTTTAAAATTCTGTTCTTTGGGCCAGCAAGATTCTCAGTGAGTAAGGGTGCCTGCCACCAAGCCTGAAGGACCTGAGTTTAATCCCTGGGACCCATATGGTGGAAGGAGAGAACCACCCCCTCCATGTTGTACACACACACACACACACACACACACAGACACACACAGACATACACACACACACACACACACACACACCCCACATAAACACACACACACACACACACACAGACACACACACACACACACAGGCATACACAGTACATTTTTAGAAGTTGTCCTCTCCTTTTACATTTCATTGTGTCCAGAGGAACCAGACTGCTTCATCAGAACGGTGCCTAAACATTTGTTCAGCCAGATATCCAATCTCATCACTCACAAGTTCAACCTTCCATAAGACACCAGCATATGAACAAAATTTGTTGAGGGATATTCGCTTACACCTCGAGCTTGCACTTGTGTTAATTAAAATTAACCTTGAGTCATGAGGCTGTGTTAGCAACTAGCTGACAGAAAGTACCCATAGAGCCTCAGAGGGCATCTGGGAGAGAAAGAGAGACACAGGAAGTAATAGAGGGGTTTGGAGTGGCACAGCCATTTTTGGTTTGGCGAAGCGGAAGCAGGGGTCCTCGGAGGATACAGGAAGGAGAGAAGGTTAGCTAGTTGCTACTCAGCCTCTCTGAGCTCCCAGGCTTTTATCCCAGCCTTTAGATCTCAAGTCTTATTCATAAATAGAATGACAGAGATTTAGTTAAAACTATCTCTAGCGGCAGTGACAGGGCCAGTTCCTGTGGGAGCAGAACTCCCACCAGGCTGCCCCTGAGCGGCCAGGTTGCTGCTAGAGAAGCAGGCAGTAGCTGCGGAGCTGCAATTGCTGGTGGAGATAGCAGTCGATTAAGGCACAGCCACTGTGCTGACGCTAAAACAACAAAAAGTCGGTGAAATTTCTCTGCAATTTTATTACAAGAACGATCTTTCTAACATCAACTGGTGCCACGTTCCTTATTTCCACCTGCCATCCTCATCAGAATGATGTTGCCATCTGTGTTTACCAGCATCATGTTGAGAGCCACCCCTCTCATTTTCAGCCCTCCCCTCCCCAGATGACATTGAACATGCATCTCACAGCTCATCTGGCCTCAGCTGCCTCTTACCTACTTCTGAGGCCACTTCCATATCCTTAGGTTTGCTTTGGTTACAGTATCACCCCACGCAATACAATGTTAGGTTCTTCAAGCAGCTATATAACAAAATGCCACAAACCGGGTGGCTTATCAAAACAAATTTATTTCTTACACTTCTTAAAGCTGGAAAATTCAAGATCAAGGCACCCAGAGACTTGTCTGGGAAGAACTTGCTTCCTAGATGGTGGTCTTCCAGGGTAACTGAAAGGTTTCTGGGGTTCATGGGAAACACTGGGGCAGAATGTCCTCTTGGGTAAAAGATTCAAAGAATTATTAGTGTCATAGAAGACACGTAGACATGCCAAGAGTTTTGAAGAAAATTTGGGTCCACAAGGGCTAAGTGATCTCTGTAAGTTTCAGAGGGGACAGTGATCTCACACTATGTAGTTCACAAGTAACCATCCATGCATGCTTGGGATCAGGCTGTCTCTGATTCCTCGGTGGTAGGGGAAGGGGAAAGACTTGGTCATTTAGTTAATACATGTGTCTATCATACAGGGTGTGCTGCCTGAAGCCCCTCATTGCTTAGAGTGCTTTTAAAGCTTCTCTTAGCAAAGTGAGGGTTATAGTCTTGCAGACAGCCATGGCACCTGTTATTTCTTTCATGGCAGCTGTGAGGGTAGAGACAGAAAGAAATCTGAGTGGCTGCGCCCCCAAACCTACCAGTTAGGACCTCAGCAATTACAAGTCTTTTATTTCATCCCGATTTACTTTATTATTATTATTATTATTATTATTATTAGTTAGGGTCTTGTTCTATATTCCCAGCTGGCCTAGAAGTGGCTGTATACACTGGGCAGGCCTCAATTTTGTGACAGTCCTCCTGCTTTTGTCCATCATGTGCTTGAGACTATGGATGTGAATTTTAATTATTACACCACACTTCACACAATATTTGTAAGTTACAGAGAGCTAAGCAAAGAACAATGCAGAGTGATGCCAGGACTCTTGGCATGGCTCAGTTGGTAACGTGCTTACTGCATAGTCATGAAGACCTAGGTTCAAATCTGCAGCTCCCACATAAAAGCTCTGCATCTCTTATCTCTGCACTGGGAAAGAAGAGGCAGGAAGAGCTTGCTGGCATCCAGTCTAGCTGAACCCATGAGCTCTCACTGAACTAGTGAGAGACCTTGTCCTAAAATATAAGGTAGAGATCACTTGAGACAGACACTTGACACCAACCTCTTGCTCCTACATGCATGCTACATCCAGAGCAATGTGTAAAGGATCATTACAAATGCAGACTATCCCAGACACCAGACATTGGATCTGGATAGTTTCCAAGTGGCAGTACCAAGAGCAAGGGAAATCATGCTTACTTAAGTCTAGGACAATTAGAAATTTGTTTTTAGTGATCTACAGGGCAAAGTTACATTGGAGGGGTCCATGGCAGTGATGGAATGGTGTGCTATGCTGTAGTCTGTGGCTCTTTTAATAAATCTTGGGTTAGGGAGTGTTTAGTTCATTGGTCTGGTGGGTATAATGAATTCTCAGGAGATAATTTTTATTAACACAAATAAATCACTCAGCACTCTCTGCCTTCTGGGTGTATGGGACAGGGGGTATTGGTTTATATGGACAAACAAGATACCAAGTCAGGGGCTAGGGAGAGGGCTCAGCAGGTAAAGGCATTTGCTGCCAAGCCTGACGCCTGAGTTCAATCCCTGGAACAAACATGATTGGAAGGAGAAAACTGACTCCATCAAGTTGTCCTTCGACTTCTGCCTGTGTGCCATGGCATGTGTCCCCACCCTCGCTGACTAACTAATTAGCTAGATGCCAGACCATTCTACTTTAGCATTTATACCCAAAATAGAGTTACTGAGGACGGACTGCTTCTCTATCTAAAATGTAACTCAGGGCTGGACACAGCCTGCTCTTTATAGGGAAAGGGTAATACCTGGAGTAACAGGGGACTTGGGCCTAGAGCATTAGCAGAGGTCTTTCTGGGAACACACTAATAGTGATTCTTGACTCTGAGGTTCAACAGAAAGAGTAAGAAGCAAAGCCAGTCTTTAGTGTAGTTAGATCAAGGTTAGCTCCAGGCAGGACCAGGGGGTTCTATTTTCTAGAGAATCTGAGTCAGATGTAGGACCTGCACCCATCAACCAGACCTCATGACATACAAAACTAACTGGGCCTGGCCCTCCCCACTGGTGTCTTCCAGAGTGTCCGGAGGAGAACTGTTCGATTTCCTGGCTCAGAAGGAGTCGTTAAGCGAAGAGGAAGCCACCAGCTTCATCAAGCAGATCCTGGATGGTGTGAACTACCTTCACACAAAGAAAATTGCCCACTTTGATCTCAAGGTCAGTAAGGGGAATAAAGCAAGTGTTTAGGAAGAAGAGACCCCACCCCCTCGTCACCCATAGGAAGGGCCCACTTCTCACAGGCCCAGTGTCCTCAACTTCAACCCAAAACCCTAGCCTTGAGGGGGAAAATAGCCTGATAGCAAGTGTCCACCTCAGTTCACTTCTCCTGTCAGGCCTTCAGCACATGGGAGCTGGCACAAGATGCTCTTTGGTCAACTAGAAACACTTTATATTTTCCAGGGAGTAGATGATGCACGATTAAAAACAGGACAAAAGCAGCAACAAGAAACTGGAAACAAAACCCATTTCACAAGAGGAAACTGACTGACAAGGAAGAGCTAAGTCATGAGTGGGCAGGACTAGCGGGGTTTGCAGAATTGCCGAGGTTGACTGACACTCCAGACCCAGCACAGTGTGGCCTTCTGTCCCCTCACCAGAGATTATAGATCTCAGAGCCCAAGACCATTAGTGGCCTGTGCCTGTCTCACTCCAAACTAGAGCCAGGACCACTGACAATTTGTGGTAACTGGTGTTCAGGGTTGAGAAAGTTCATCGTGACCATGTATAACTACATAGAGTATGACTGTGGTCAAGGCTGAAGGATTGGTCCCATGAGTAACTGAGCTCAGGCACATGCACCGATAGGTCTTCGCAGGTAGCTGACTTATGGAGGTCTCTTCAACTCATGTGCAGACTCCTGTTTACAGAAGGAGACCCAGATGGTGCTAGTTGTCATTACTTCTTTATTTGTTTTTGAGTCATGGTCTTGTGTAGCCCAGGCTGGCCTCGAACTCTTGATTCTCCAGCCTCTGTTTCCTGCGTGCTGGGCTTACACAAGTACATCACCGCACCTGGCTGTCTATCTAGTGTTCTATGCAGAAAGCCCTGTGCTCTTTTGTGTACTGGGCTTCACCTCTCTTTTCTAAGGAGATTGATGCAGGAGACAGAAAAGAAAGATCAATCATTCTAAGAGTGTAACTGGGAAGCACTGGGAGGCCACCAAACCTGAAGGGCAGACCTCTAACTATCCTGAACTTACAAGAGAGGGCTGCCTGGAAGAGCTGGCATTTGAATTTTCTAAAGAATCGACAGGGATTTGCAGAAGGAAAGGACCGTGTACATGTGTACATGATCACAGTGACAGCACAATTCATTCAATGGAGTACAGAAAAGGGAGTGTGTACAAGATCGCAGAAGAGGCCAGGAAGAGAGCCCGAGGCAGTTGAGAAATGCTGAGGCTGAGCTGAAGGGGTGCCCTTTACCCTTTGCCTCTTGCCCTTTATCCTGAGAGATACAGGGGGCCAGGTTAGCAGGCATATATTTTAGCTTGAGTCCTTCTGGCTGGGAAGATGGATGGGATGGGGACAGCTGGGCAGCTGGGAGCCCAGCACTAATTTAGAGATCAACCTCAGAATTGTTTAGGTGCCTAATTTCATGCACAGGTGAGGGTGAGGCATCACCCACAATGACACCAAGTTTTGGTTTGAGGGACTGATTCAGAGAGAATATGACATGCCCACAATCTTACAGCAGCCACCCCAGGATGTGCACTCTGTTCCCATGCATAGATTCCTGTCCCAGCTCTTATTCTAGCACGGTCCCCCTCCTGGTGGTAGTTGTCACAAAATAAAAGTTGGAGGCCCAATAGAGGGTGGGCAAGCTTTTGGATAGTGGGGTGGTGATACAGCAGGCAGATAATGGTCTACCTGGATTGCATCTGTGGGCAATTAACTTATTTTCTTGGGTCTTTCCTGGCTCCTGGCAACTGCCTCCAAATGGTCTGCTTTTTTCTTTTCTCCTATGGCTGATAGAAGTGGGAGGATTTGCTGTGGTGAAGGGGAGCCTGGGTTGGAGTCAGCCCTGTTGGACTTCATGCTTCATTCTACCATACCCCGGAAGGCACCTGAGCCTTGCTTTTCCAGCCCTGTTGCAGATAGCACCACCTACCTGGCAGAGTTGACGTAAGAGTGAAGCAGTGCTAAGCGATGCATAGAGAATATGTGTTACACACTGTTATTGTTATCTCCCTTCCCAGAAGAGTGGAAAAGAAAACACAACTCTTATTACAATGTTTTGGGCTTTGCTGGACTGGGAAAACAAACTCTGGTAATTCCGTTCTTGCCACTGCTCTGGGAGAGCTGAGACTTGCTGTTGTGGGGTGGCTGGTGGGGCTATTTCTAGCTCTCAGACTTGGTCTGGACATTTTCCATGGCCTAGAGACAGTCTGTGTTTATCTTGGTACGTATAGGGTGAGGATGTTGCTAAGCCCACCTATGGCCATTCATCCTCGTGGTATAGAGACTAAACTTTCTGATTCCCCTTTCTCATGGGTTTCTTGGTCTAGGACCAAATAGGCAACTTGGGGGAGTGATGAGCAGCTGGACCGCAAGCAGATTTTTCCTCATGGTTGGGAGACACTTCTTGTACCCAGAGTGCAGCTTTGCGAGCCATCGGATTGGAATTTTCAACTAGCTTTGGGGGATACAGCCAGCTGGTACCCTAGAAGATATTTCTTGGTTCCGTGTTGCTTCCTACCATCTAAAATTCACATATACTTCTTAGTTTTCCTTTTCTGTAACAAGCTTCTGTTTTCCTCTACTTGCTTATATTCTTACTCCTTGACAAGGAAGCATGGCGTCCGTAGGACACAGCCACCATGCCCTCCATGCTCTGTCTATGACTTCTTTGGGTCTTCCTCCCAGCTTGAAGGGGCCTTGGCTGAGAAGGATCAGCTGTCTGGGCTGCCTTTGACAGACACCCTGGGAAGCTTAGTCTTTGTCTGTTGCTGTGATAAAACACCATGACAAAAGCAACTCAAGGCAGAAAGGGTTTATTTCAGCTCACAGTTCAAGGGAATAGTCTACCATGAAGTCAGGGCAGCAGAGCTTGAAGTGGCCACGCCTTTGTATGAGGGAATGAGTGCATACTCCTGCTTAGCTGACTTTCTCCATTTTCTAGAGGCCTGGATCACCTTTTCAGGAAGGGTCCCACCCACAATAAACCTAGGTCTTTCCACATCCATTAACATGAAGATAGTCCTCCACATGCATCATGCCCAGGGCCCTCTTCCAGCTATTTCTAGAGACCATGAATGTGTGTTGCCACCTCTCTGCCCTTCTTTTTCCCTTCCCAGGGCCTTCCTGGTGATCTTAGAAGACCCAGCAGAAATTTCCTTTCCTCTGGAAAGCCTCTGCTATTTGTCAAAAATCTAACAAAGAATTAACCAGATCCCCCCCCACCTCCACCCCCATGCAAACTTCTGCTGGGAGCACTGGTTTTTTTTTTTTTTTTTAACTTTTATTATTTGTGGATTTCACATCATGCATTCCAATCTCACTTATGTCCCTATCCCCTTGAATTTGCCCCCTGCCATTGCAGCCTATCCCCAAATCAAAACCAAATTTAAAAGAAAAAGCCAAGAACCAAACAAAACAATAAAACAAAACAAAACAGAGGAATCTTGTCATGGAAGCTGTAGTCTGTCCAGTTGAGTCACACCCGGTTACCCTTTAGTACATTCATCTTTATTTGCAAGTGTTCATTGTGGTTCTGCTTCACCACAGATAATGGGCTCTCGCTGGGGCTTCTCTTGCATTTCCTGTTGTCCTGTGTCATGGAGATCTTACTGTTTTGGATCTGTAGGTTCGTTCCCTTCATATGTTCCAACAGTTGATAGATGAGGTAGATGTTGGGGTGGGTCAACTCATAGCCCTGGTTCTGGGCCTAGGTGGTAGCTGGGTGGGTCAGCCTGCCATCTTTCCCTTTCGGTCACCACCCAGATTAGCTTTGGCTAGCTCACCCAATGCAGCCGGACACAAGAGCAAGGCCAGTTCTGCTCTCAGGTCCTCAGATCAAGTCACCCACACTTCCATCACCAGGACCAGACAAGGTACAGGGCTCTCTGGGAGCACTGATCTTTCTGAATCACTTTCTGCAGCACAGTGCCTGACATAGGATGAGTCACTCGGTGCTGAATGAGTGAATGAGCAAATGAATGAATATCTTAGTGACAAGCAGATGTACCCATGAGTGTGCAGCACCCTTTCATGAAAGTACAAAAGAGGTTATAGGCAGAGTGCAGTTAGTCTACCAGTGCGCACATTTATTGAGGTGAAAAGCAATTAAACGATGGGGTGCAGCCCCTGCCTTCCAGGAGCCTACTGTCTTTAGGGAGAAGGGCATAGTGAGTCTTGGTGATGCAACCATCTGAAATAGAAACTAATAGGTCCTCAGTAACCATGCCCACTTCCAAGGAGTGAGCTCTTTGTCTCAGGCAAAGTGGACACAGTTTCTGTGTGTGTTGTAAACTGGACACAGATTTAGATGGGTTAAAGTGGAAGAATTAGGGTTGTTCCCTGATGGAAGGGACATGGCTGACAGCCTGTTTGTATCAGGGACCATCAGCCAGGCAGACCATAGGTCAGGTCACCAGGAAATAGGCCTCAGAAACCTCACCTGTGTACATGATCTCAGTACAAATAACAGCCTTGCAGAGGGTGTTTGTATGCGGTCTTGGGGTGGTTTCTTCTCTGAGTTTGTATATCCTTTCCCCTCTCCACCAATCAAATCTAGCCCAAGAGCTCTGAAATAGAGGGTGGGCCCTGGAACTGATGGCATATTAAGCAAAAAAATAAATTATGAGAAATGACTAAAATTGAATGTAATCCAGAAGCTCAAAACTCTGAGAAGACTTTTAATTATGAGCACTAGTAAGAGGGTAAATTCCAAAGCAGGGACTTCCCCACAAATCCAAGTTTCCAAGCTCCTTTATGCCCAGGATCATCCTTAGTGGTCATTGTATATTAGAGACTGCTAGTGAAGCTTTCATTAGGGTGATAGTGGTAACACTTTCAAGACTTTCTAGAATGTAGCATGCGTACACCTTTTTCTTCATTTGATCCTCATGGATACAGAAGGTGATGTCATATTTTTACACACCAAGCAGTTGAGATTCAGAGAGATTAAGTAACATGCTCAAGATCACACAAGTATCAGAT